CATCGGGGCATTTTGACAAGTACAAGTACTTGTCAAAATGCCCTGTTTTTTCCACCCTCACCCTGCAGCGTCCTCAGGCGGCCGCCTGACTTGCCTTGCGGTAGCGCCGGGCCTGCTGGTAACATGCAATATACTTGGCATTTTCATGAGAACTACCAGGGTTGCAGGGTTAGATGCACATGTGTGACCTGCTTTACAATAATATTTTGAAATACTGGGGGTGATTTACTAACCTGAACACACGCACGCACCAGGTGCGTGTGATTTTTACACAGCAAAGCGTATTTATCAACCAAAAAGTCTCTATAAGCATATTTCCACTAATGACATATATGGAAAAATCTTGCACATGATGCATATATAATGCTGCTTCACAGTTTAGACAAAAATGGTTAGCTCATGCATTTACATTCCTGCATTCATCAACGCAACCAACACAATGTAGAGCTAATTTACACAACATCACCTTGCAATTCAGGGCAGGGCTTTGCACAACACACCTGCTGGGTGTGTACACACTACTAAGGTGTTTAGATTCCACCCATAGATCATGCTGGGAGGGAACACACTACAGAGGTGTATACATGTTTGTGGTGTGTTTATAAGGTTAGTAAATCAACCCCACTGAATCATAGTAGAGCCTGTCTCACCTAACTTTACCACAAGCTAATCTGCAGGTCATCAGTATTTAGGCACAGAGGTCTACTAGACCTACTTCTAAATGAGCCTAGTACAGCAATCGACCCCCTCCATTTTTTACAATTGTTATTGCAGTACAGGTACTCTTTATTGCTCATTTAATTCTTTAATACCCAACTTGGAAGAAGAATACAACCTGCTGTGCAGTCCTTGTAGAAGCTTTCTACCCAACGCCTTCAAACAATCGTTTATTCCTATGTCACTTTTTTAAATAGGTCACTTGTCTCAGGATCCTGGAATATATTGTACCGCTAAATGTGACTACCCTTAAGGCCCTTTACGGCAGTTCCAGGGAGCAGCTAGTAATGTTAATGAATGGCCTTTCCAGTGAAAGAATAAACTATATAAATGTTAAAGTAACATCTAAAAATGCACACACTTATTTAATGGAAAAAAGTAATAGCATTTGAAACTAAGAGGACCAAGGGGTGCCGTAGACATCTAAGGGTGGTCAGTTGTGAATACACAGTGTGACCACCCTCAGGCTCTGCTACTGACCTCCAAGGGCACAAACGTGGTATAGGTTTTCAAACCTGATCGCTTTTTCATCCTGGTCATGCACAGGTTTAGTAGATGAGAGGTTGGCAGCCAATTTAGTTTAAAAAAACAGCAACGTTAGGTGATTATCATTTTGTGTTTATGGATAGCATTGTTAGCTAAACCCTGATAATCACCTTCCTGCAAGTGCAGAAAAAACCTGCTGATCCTGGCAGAAATCCTGTAATGTCCGAACTTTGTGTAGTAATTGGATAAGGCTGCCTCTGTCGTATTGACATACACTTTAAGACATCTAATAGTGCACATTAACTGAACCTGTGGCCAGGCTATGGCCATTTAGGGCCCGTTCACACCAGATAAATTGGGCTGCTCTGGGCAGCCATGCCCATCACAGTCTCAATGCATAGGCAAGGCAATTTTCCTTGCGTCCTATTAATTCAGTTCACACCACCACCAGCAGTGGTGTGCACTAAACAAAAGTAATTTTTTCTACACAGTGTATTGTGAGTCACTACAGCACATTGCAACATGTTGCAGTAAATAGAACCAATAGAAATGTCAGTGTGACAGTTAAATAAAGTTTAAAAAAAGGCAATTGGCAGCTGAGCAGTAGTGAGTTCTGCTGGTATGAACTGACCCTTAATCACTTACATATTCTTACCACGCAGCCTTAAAACAAGCCCCTACTGGCCTCTGTAGCTGCAGCCGCTGTGGAGAAATGTATCTTCAAGTTCAAAGCAGAAGCAGTACCTTGGGAGTGGGGATCTAATAAATAAGTGGCTCTATCATTTCCATGCAAGATCTGCTTGGATATTGGAGTACAGGTCTACTTTAACTGGCATAGCATATATTCTCAGCTGTTGAAAAAAAAACATTTCCAATTTAAGGTGCCCATACACTGTACGAGAATCGCGGGAAATCGTACGATAATCGTGCAGTGTATGGAAGGCGTGCGACCGTTTCTACTGTACGGTCGCACGACTTTTGTATTTCGAGCATGTTGGAAAACCAGCCGAGAATCGTACGATTTTCGGCTGGTTTTTAGCATGATCGAAGTGATAACTGCCGAACGGGCCGGTGTGCGCACGCGCACACTGCCCGTTCAGCATTGCAGTCATCGGAAGCCCACCCCTCAGGGGGGCGGGCTTGCGATGATCGCAAGTACGATCTGCCTGTCCAAGATGGGCAGATTGTACGTTTTTTTAATTACTTTACAACCTTTGCAAGACAAAAGTCTTGCGAGGGTTGTAAAGTGTATGGGCACCTTTAGAGACTTAACAGTAGCAAATCTTAATGACTATACAAATAGGGACTGGCTATATCACTGCAGCTTCTTAAACGTTCCTTAATAGCAGCGTATTGTAGAGATATTTGGAGTATAAGCACTTAGTGTTCGCTCGATTGCGTTTACAGCACCTCTCTGCGAATAGCGTTGTTTAACTTTGTTTAAAATTCGGCCTCAGTGGAGCAAGAACACGTTTAAATTTGCCTAAAAGGACATCGCTTTTGCCTTTATTGTTTACAAGCTCAATTAAGCTTTATTTAAGCCCAAATACCTTTGGTGCAAAATGTATACGAGGCGTAAGATGGTCGAATGTGCAACTGCAGAAGCGGGAAGTTAGTATATGCCTCGTTTAACCTTTAGAAATATGATTATTTCCACCGATGCATCTTGTAAAGACAGACTGGTGTCGTCTCTGAAGAGAAATGCTTATGTACCTTACAGCTGTAGCGGGGCCAAAAGACATTGGTTATTAAAATGTCAGAACGGTCGGTGTTGTCCTCTGCCGTCAATCTGACTCTCCTATTCAACTCCCATTCTGCAATGGGGCAGTCAAGATACACACCATTCTTTGGCCAGAATAGGCCACTAAAGTAGCTTCTGATTCAGTTAAAGAAAGTTATGCTGATCTTTAAGGGGACACTTATCTTGTAACACATTGCAATGTTGAAAGCAGAATTCCCTTTGGACCCTACTGGGTAATCAGAGGTTCCAGGTTTTGTGGCCAGTGTACTCTGCAACAACTGGGCTCCTTGGATCCTATGTTCAGAGCATACTCTCCTGATCCTTTTTGAGTTCAGATTCATGAACAGTGGACCATTTGTTGAAATCTGTCTTAGTTTTGAATAAAGTTTTATTTATGGTGTCCATTGTGATGATTTTCTTTCATTTCCTGTCCCAGGGACACAAAAGGAAGTGAGTAAAAATGTCCTGCAAGTGCAAGTGCAGAGAAATTACCTCTTAGTTGTCACCAGAAAAGGTGCCACCATTTAAAAATTTCCCCTATCCTGTTCTGTTTTAAAGTTCTCATCACCTCTTGCGTCAGTGATAGTTGTCACCAAGACCAAAAAGACATCCTGGTAGGTTATTTGGCTCCTCTCTAAGTTGGCCCTCTACAGGTGAAACTTGAATAATTAGAATATCGTGCAAAGTTCATTTATTTCACTAATGCAACTTAAAAGGTGAAACTAATATATGAGATAGACTCATTACATGCAAAGCAAGATAGTTCAAGCCGTGATTTGTCATAACTGTGATGATTATGGCTTACAGCTCATGAAAACCCCAAGAACCCCAAATCCACAACCTCAAAAAAGTAGATTATTACATGCAATCAATAAAACAAGGATTGTACATAGAACAACATCGGACCTCTGAAAAGTACAAGCATGCATATGTACTCAGTACTTGGTTTGGGCCCCTTTTGCAGCACTTATTGCAATTACTTTTGCACGATATTCTAATTATTCGAGTTTCACCTGTATGTATGCATGTGAGATAGGGACCTTAGATTGTAAGCTCCTTGAGGGTAGGAACTGATCTGAATGTGCATCTATGTAAAGTGCTGCATAAATTGTCGGCGCTATATAAATACTTGAAATAAATAAAATAAGACAAATAGAGAGTGAATTTTGGGGACACAGACAAATAAAAAACATGACATAAGTTCTATCCATTTCCTACTCCAAAATAACTTGCTATAGATATACTTCAGGGTTCTGTTACAGATTTATGTATATAAATCTGTAACAGAATATATTTCTATAGATATATTAACTACAAATATTTTGTGTGTCACCATGTATTTGTTAGGCACAAAAAATTACGTTAATGGCTATTTAGTTTTTTTAAGGTTGTGCAAAGCAGATCTCATGTGCTATTCATAGGATATGTTTCTAGGTGCTTGCTAATTACCTCCAGACATGACAATATATCATCGAGGAAGGGTCTGCAGTAGAATGGCTTTCTACTGTCAGCATTTGTACAAGCCAACATTTTTAAGCAGGAAATGATCTTAATCCCTCTGGCAATCTAAGATCTCAGCACACTGTCAAGGTCGTTTTCTTTTTTTCTTTTTTTTTTTTGCCTCGTTCTGCAATCTTAAACAGTTTTCACAACCGCATCGACCTGGAAGTTGTCTAAATGTTTATATATTGTAGCACAACTGTATGTTGGTGTCCAATATTGTTGTTGACTGGAGAGTAATGAGTAAAGTGTAGTGAGGTTTTGGGAATGTCTACATGCCTACCTGAAACCTTGAGGAGCTAATCTTTAATATTTAATTATAGTCATCCAATTCTGTTAATATAAACTTATCCTCAAGCAAGTCGAGGGCAACCTGTCCATAAAAAAGCAGGAGCTTCCAGGTAATTGCGGATATGTATAGGTTAATTACAGTACGGCCGAAATCCATAGAACTCAGGTTTAGGTTGGGGCACAGCAGGCTTCACATAAAGTCCCAGTGAATCTATTGGGATTTACTGCTGCAACTGTCTGTGACAACTATCGTCCAGCATGAAGCTCAGGAGCTGAATCAATCAATTGTTGGGTTTGAGATCCTGCTATAGCGCGCTCCATAGCATTGCAATACAACACAATGCTTCGGCATTGTGTTTAAAGGGAGAGTGTCTTGCTGTCAATCTAGTAAATGTTTTTTTTAGACAGAGCAGAGCTGAGCCATCTCTGTCCTGCAATACATCACTATTATGGGTGATCTTTTGCTGCAAAGGGATATGGGAAGGGGGGGAGCAGTCTCCCCTGACTTTAGTTCACATAATTTTATTATTCAAATGTTATTTTACCTGCACCTCAAATTGCTCCATTTTCTGCTTAGACTAGTCTTAGACATTCTAAGTAGACACTACTTAAGAATTAACATCTATAAGTAGATAGTAATGGTTTAAACCCCAACTCCAGTCTATTTGTTATTCAGTTCCCCACAACCCCTTCTAGTTCAGTGCTAGTCCTCTTCCAAGATGAACGATGCATTGAAGCCCAGGGCATCAAGGACAAGCCTCGGGGGTTCATCATCCTGTTATCCTGGACTCGCAGGAGGCAGGAGGATGCTACAGAGAGTTGTGCCACATCATTATGTGGCGTTGTTCTCTGTAGCATTTGGGACCAGTCTACTGGCGGAAGAAGAGGACCTGAAGATTGACTGAGGAACTCAGGAAAAAAAGGGTATGTATAAAGAAATTTCACAGGATCAGAAAGTAAAAAGAGAAATAAAGAAAATTGGGGTTTGAATTTTGGGCAGATGATGGATTACTGGAACTGAAAATTGAAGCAAAAATGTAGAAATTGATAATATAACATGCATGTAGTAAAGTCAGCTCATCATACAGTGAACTGAAAACATATTTAATTTAAAAAAAGTGAGCAAACAAGGCATGGTAATTAAACAATTGCATGTCGTACACATTAGTGAATTGACTCCGCAGCTATTCTTCTATTTGACTTTTGGAACCAAAAGGATTAATATAAAGATTAATGTGGAGAGGGGAAATATTAGGGACAAAGATTTTATTATTGCCTTTTAGGAAAATGAGTGTCAATTTTAGACCAGGGTATAAGATATTTTGTCCTTAAAACATGCTACTTGAAATCATTTTTGCCCAGGTCTTTCCTCATGTAACTGTCTCAAGATCAATAGAATTGTAAGTGTCCAGGGAATTAGCATTACTTTGATAAGAACATCTTTTTTTCTATCTTTGATATGTACAGTATGTAACTTAGTAAATAAGCCTTCTGAGCTCATCTGTAAGCTACAATTATATGTAAACTAATCCCATCATATGAACTGAATATGTTAATCTATAAAGGTTTTCCTAGACTTGCACATATTCACTGTTGCCGCTTGTCATCTTTTATTTTTAGATACTCGGAATGGCTTTCTCTATGACTCTCTTCCAGCAAATACACAGGACTGGTAAAAAATATGATGCTTAGAGGGATTTTCTACTTTTCATTTGTACCATTCTACTTTGCCATAAAGAACATCAACAACCAAGGAATCCAGATGACCTTTGCAGGATCGCTGTCCCACCTTTCCCCTAAACTCTTGGCCGAAACTTGTTACTCTTTTTTGTGTATTATTGCATCTGCTGTTAATTTGCCAAAGAAGACAAAAATAGAGTCAGTTTCCTAAAATGTGTTCTGCTCTAACACTCTCTTCGAACTTCACAAAACAAGCTTTGCATACTAATATACTTAAGACTTCTACCAATACGTGACGGATATGCTTATGCTTCTAGGACTTTTTAAAAACGAAGAACGTTAAAAAAAAAAAATGGAAGACTTTCAGAAGCCATTGAAAACTGGGTCCTGCTAAAGAAAGGGCCGGTTTGCATGGAACTGACTGAAACTTTTTTTGTACCTTATCGAAGATGTTTTGTTACAGACTACGGTTAGGACTAGACTTTGTCTTTGATTTACGTCATTTTAAACCTTTTTCTTTGTCGTTTATATTCATTTTACTTGGATTGTTTCACAACACAATTCTGTGTGATCTTTAAAGGATTGTTCCTACTGGAAGTAGGTTGGAAAAGGAGCATTAGGGGCTGATTGCGTACATGCATCAAATCGTTAACAAACAATTTCCTTGTAAATTGTAGCCAAGTGATCTGAAGCTATAAATCCATAATTTAGGTTTGCACACAAGTACTTTTAATATTATACCTATGCTAATACTGAATTTCTCTCTTAATCACATATTAGATTCAGTTTCACAAATTGATCAATTTTAAATAATGTCTAAAGCAACAATCCATTCATATTATTGTTTGTTGTATTTACTTTTTCTTTTTCTTTTGCATATTTATTTTCTCTTCAGAGGCATTAACCTGGCAGTGGGTTGTATTTGACATAATATTATGTACTTGAGATAAAACTGTAAGTTTAAATTCCAGAAGGACTTAAGAAGACGGTCTAACTTTTTCTGAAACCAGATTAGTTATACTCGGGGAGATTACCATCTATGCTGTGTGCTTTAAAAACTGAATTCAGCACGTCGTTCATAAATATACAGAGATAATGTAATGTTTGAAGGCATAATTCATTTTGACTATTGTCTGAGGAGGTTTTACATTTTGGAGCCAAGTGACTAAGGAGTCATAAGTGTAGCTGCAATGCACACAGTAGCTCCAGCAGTCATTTCATCAGCTACAAAATGATTCCAAATGTCGCGATCGATGAGAGTTTGGAGAGGCAGTTGTATTTACAGATGTAGCCTTTGTATGGCCTGAAAAGTGAAAGCTGAGCTCCAGGCAAATACTAAATACACAGGTGATTTTATATATATATAGATAGATACAGATAGATAGATAGATAGATAGATAGATAGATAGATAGATAGATATAGATATATCTATATGAACTGGTTTATCTGCCAAAGGATATGCATCTCTGTCCATCCAGCCCTGAGAACACAGCCTTGCCACACAGCACAGCCAGAGTGCTGACATCAATTATAGTGAGGAATTAATGTGGTCTTCTCCCCACCATCCTTCTGAGAGTAAAGGAGCAGCAGCAGAATCATATGGTCATTCCTCTTCTCTCTTCACCTATCAGAATGATCTTTGTCATCACCCCCCAGTCTAAGTGCTCCTGTATAGGGGACTGCAAGTGGCAATTCAGGTACTCACCCTAGCTCCATTTGTAAAATAAATTAAAAGATATATTAGTAAATACAGAGCTGCTTTAATTTGTGTATTTTACATCTGCCTGGAGTTCAAGTTTCATATTTTAAAATAGTGCCTCTTGTCCATTGCTAGGCGCTAGTTACTCTATTGAAGCATTTTGTTGGGTGGATTGATGCTCAGATACTTATAGAATTATAGCCTATCCATTCACTAGGAAACTGATGTCAATTAGGCAGCCATTCTGTAGATTTGCACAAGTGGGATAGTAGCCACCCTTTCCACAAGGAACCATTAACAGACAGAACTTTTGTTAGCACCGTTGGTACCCAAAGGAAACCCGTAGTGGGAGGTACATGGAAGATTTCACTGCTGTCCTCTTTTCTTGAAAATTCTAGTTGCTTGGCTTTCAAGCTGTTTCAGTGGTTTACGTCCTTTTAGAGGACCAGACCTGGAAGTATGCTGATATGGAGGTCTACGTTCCTTCAGACTTCGTCATTTGAATGTTTCTTCCTGGTCAGTGAGAACGTTTTATAGCCAAAGATCGCCACGCAACCAGTATGCTTAGGACGAGCAATGGCAACCCTATTTTTCTTTCACTACAGGTTTTCTTTAATATATCACTACACTATCCCTGTGAGGCAAACATGTTGTAGGCCTGACTGCAATCCTGGGGCTCTAGCTAGTCCACTCAGAAAGTGGTTATATTACTTTAAGTAAATCATCCCATTCCACTATCCCATATGCCAGTACCTGTTCTTAGAGGTTGTTGAAGCTCTTTGTTTCTCCCTTTCTTATGTCACAGCTCTCTAGCAACCCTTAGGTAGCAGCTAATAAACTCTGTGTAAAGGGCACTTTACTTATTTTACATTTTGCATTAACTTCTTTTATTTCTTCTGGCTGAAATTATTTTCTCAGTTGGCTCAAACAATAGAAAGAGCATAGTTTCAAGCCAGTTAGGAAAGCAGGGATGATGTCACTGTATTCAGGCTGACTATTTAAGACCCAATTTCACCTTTAAAAGTCTGATCTCCAGTCTTGAGTTTTTACAACTGCCATCTAGGGGTTGCTATAGAGCTCTGACATGAATTAGAAAGGAGATGGGATAGCAAGAGGAATGGCATGGTTCACTTTAAGCAGCTATTTTGTGGGCAGAGCTGAGATTTCCGAGAACTCAGTCCGCCCCTACTTTAGCAAAAGTGATATCAGTAATGTAAGCATGTTGTGGGCTGAGCTAGTACTCCACAAAATCCAGCCTGTTTATTCCTAAACACCTAGAAATATCACTAGAGCAGCCTTTTGAGGTTTGATAAATCACTGAGACCCTCTTTGCATGGATTGTTGCTTTACCAAGTGAATGGTTGCCAGGTAGACAAAGAACGGAACTGTACCTTTGCACACACTATTTTCTGTTGCTACATTACATAAAGTAAACCTTGTACAATATTTCATAGGACATTCCTGCTAAATACTTCAGCACATACCTCTAGTTTCAATGCTGCTTCTTTTAACAATGCCCAGAATTTGATCTTTGGTGTGGGCATTACTTATATTTTGCTGCTTCACAAAGTCACAACAATGAATAAGCAATGTGATTGATAGTTATGTTTTGCTATTCACCTTGATGTAGCAGTAGCGGCAACAACTGCTTGTATTCCAACTGCAAACATTTTACTGAACAGTTTAAAGCTGAGGCTGGTGTTATGTGAGAAATTCACGTACCTCCGGGCCACATACCCAGGTCCCATACTGTGCAGATTTTGAAAGCAATGTCCTTTGTCTAGAAGCAAAGGATTTACTATAGGCATGAAATGTTTGAGACCTGAAACTGCATGGCATGAGACTGAGAACAAGGTGTGGTGAAGGTATGTGATATTTCCACAAGTCACCTCATCCTCTTCCCTGAGAAGCTGTTTAGTAGAGCGATCTTTAAAAATTAAACTTTATTAATACAAGTCACGTGATCCTGTAGGACGGTTTCCTTTCTAGAGTCTGTACTGCATATGCCTTATGTAACTGAAGAAAGAATGTTGACCCATCTGTGAATCAGATTTTCCTTTCGTGGTAATAGTGCTAGAAAAGGAGAAGTTGGTTGCTGAATGTTGACTCATCAACCAATCAAATTGTTGCTTTCTAGGTAACAGTGCCATCTTTACTCCTTAGTAGAAATAAAATACATTCCGAATAAAAGGCAGAAAGAATGGAGGCGATACATTGGTAAATTCTACAGGTCATTTGGTGGTATAACTGCAGAGTTTTTGGCTTCTAAATGGTTCCAGCCAAAGACTTTAATTATTTTTTGCAGAAAAAAAATATCCTTCTGGCAATTTTTGTCTGGTTATACCGGTGCATTCACTAGTAGACACCTTCTAATCCAGACCCTGGAACTGTTTTCTTGAAATAGTTTATCCAACTTCAGCAAAACTAGGGTTTGTCTGTGACTTCAGACACATAAAAGTCTAAACAAGCCGGTGCCACTTCTGCTACTTCAAACCCTAAAGTCAATGAAATGCAACAGCTA